GATTGGCAAAAATGCAAAGAAATGAAAAGAAGCGATAAAATGTATGCCTTATGTGAAAGCTAGGCATGATGGCATTTTATTAATTGGTATTTGTGGATTCTTGCTCTAGGTGTACCTAGGGACTAAAAAGGAATCAGAATCTCTTGAAGATATATAAGTAACTTGTGCAACAAGTAAGGGTATTGGTAAAGCTTCAAGATGTAAGCTCTATGTTTAAGGAGTCTTTTCCTGCTTGAGTGCTCCACCATGGTTAGTGAACTATGGTTGGACTGTATGACTGTGATTTAGATGCTTTGTATAGATGCATTCATATAGAGTTATTTGATAACATGATATGTTTTGCTCTGATATGACTTCTGTAATATGATTTCTGTAACAATCTCTGGCCATTGATTGTATAGTACCCGGATGTCCGCTTTGGGGTCCTCCCTCGGGACTGATGGGTACGCCTCTGATATGTCTAGTTCCGCTTTGGGGTCCTCCCTCGGGAACACGTGCGTTGATTTCCGCTTGGGGTCCTCCCTTGGGAATGACGGCGCACATCTCTGATATGATATGGATATATGCTCTGTTCTGTTATGATATCTGTTATATGTTGTATTTGTATACTCTGTATCTGACTTTCATGCAGGAGTGAGCCCGGGGTATGGAGAATTCTCTATAAACCTGGAGTTTATTGAGATTTGTAATCTCACCCCTCTTTGGGGACATATTTTCAGGTGCCCAGATTCCCGGTGAGTCCTCACTAGGCAGGGACACGACACGTGGCTGAGGCAGTTGACAGATCGGATTTTGAGTGGCTGTAGGCTACTACCTTTTGGAGTGTTTGATGTCTTTTAGTATTTCCGCATTTGATGGATCACGATATTGATCCTTTATTTTGTATATGGCCTGTATATGTTTTGTACATGTCTGTCACTTGGATGCATGTACATTTGGGTATTCAGGCACGTCATATGATGATGTATTATTCAGTTTATGATTTCGTATTGGATTGCATGTTGATTAGGATAGTGGCACAGAGCCATATTTTGCATGCGCCCATGGATGGGTATCTGATTGTATCTGCATGACTGGTACTTCTGGATTACTATGCTGTATAAACTGTTTATCAGGAAATGCTTCTGAGAGGGATTGGAAAATCCCCGGTTGTCCGATTTATAGAGGAAACTCTGCCCGATTTTCGTTTACCCCGAGTAAGAATTAAAGTAGAAAAAGAAAAAGTTAACTTGTATTTTCGTAAGTTAAGTCTTCCGCTGTTTTCTGTTTTATCATATGTATGTTAATTGAACCGGCTCGAGACGGGGATGTTACACTATCAAGGATGCTATTTGATTGCGCAGGCTGTGTAAGGAGCTTGGTTTTGCACAATGAGAGGTGACCATTGGGTGTGATAGTTAGAGTGCTATATTCTTGACTAAAAATCTCATCTTCCATGCGAGGACCAAGCCATAGGCATACAATACCACTTTATCAGAAAGAAGATAGAGAACAAGGTTGTAGTATTGGAGAATGTTGATAGAAAGGTGAACAGTGCCGACTTTATGACCAAGGCAGTGAATTCAAATAAGTTTGAACGGTGTATACCTGCATTGGGACTGAAGAAACATGTGAAGCATTCACCAAGTGAGAAAATGTTAAGTATGGCTCATACTTCGCATTGAGATGACGACTCTTGTTAACGGGGCGCAGAGAAAGCCAACGGGGGTCCCGCTGGTGGAAGTGTGGGGGCAGCGCCCCCGAGGCCACAGAGGTCTAGTATTGTTGTGGGCCTCTGGCTTATTGTATTTTTGTCTATTTTCTTAGTAATTTGGGTTTGAGTCCATGAATAACTATTGTTGCTTAGGGTTTCTAATTCTATTTATATTCTTCTTGTAAATTGAATAACATGTAAAGAGTGCGATGAATAGAATATAATATATATTGCTCGACCGGCCCAAAGCATAGTTCAACTGAGAGTTGCAACTTCAGGATAGAATAAAAATAATCAAACCCAAAATTGAAAGGGCCCATTAGAATTTCATATCATTTATAAAAAAGTATTAGTTAAGACAAATTTGATGAATTTTATAATAAGACGAAAAAAAAAGGTGTATAATTTTGCGAATTCAAAAAAGAAAAACTAATGAGCATTGCATGAGTGGTTACTTTTTGCGAGATAAAGTGAATGAATCGTTCTTAGTTTGAGCGTGTTGTTCGCATATCCTTGTTTGTACTCGATAAAAATACTAGTTCTCCAACGTTACAAGTGTCAACAATTCCCAAACTGATCGAGCTTCTTCCTTTCCACATTCCGGTTGACAATGCAAGTGTCACGCATCTCCAACTCTTTTACCACCTTCGCTTCCACCAACTTTCTGTAACTTCATTTCTTATCATTATTCACTATTATTGATTCCACATACATTCACCCTTCACGGCCATTCAAACTTATTCCTCTTTCCCTATTATTTGTTAATACAACCTTTTTTTTTATGCGGCTTCTTGTTGCAATTTAAGGAATAATAAGTTACAAAAACAGACAGAAAAAGAAATACCAATCCCGCTTTTGAAAAGGGTAGTTGCATTGTAACAATGGTTAACAACAAGAACAAGGAGAGAGACACTGAGTTTTTCTTGGATCAGAGCAATGAGGATGCTAACGAGGATGAACAGGATATTGAAGCTGTCAAGTACGAGAGTGAGAGTAGTAGTGAAGGTGTCAGTGACAATGAGGAAGGTCCTAGACCAATACCTAATTCTTTTTCTTCTCAGAAATGGCCTCAAAGTTACAAGTACTAATCTTCTTTGCCTTTTGTAACTTAATATATGATGTGCCATTTCTGTTAGTTCTGTTGATGAAACTCTTATTTTTCATTTTTTTTTTTTTTCCCTTTTGTTTTCTTGTTGCCTTTTGGGTGGCTCCACCTTAGTTTAGAGAAAATTTACAGTGTGGTTCTTTATTATGGCTTATATATTTCCATGAAAGAGTGCCCATATTTAGCTTCTTTTAAGTTTCACAAAAATTTATTGGCTTCTGGTATTACAATATATCCCTGGCTGTGGCTAAATAGAGCAAGGATATTGAAATTCTTATATTGACTGAAGATGAAATTAGAGAGATATATTATAAAATCATAACATGAACTCCGCTTAATAGTTAAGTTGTTGGGTTAAAATGATTCTTTACATAATATCAAAGATTGACTAAATTGTTACAAGTTCGATTTTCACCGCCTCATTTTATTAATAAATATTGTGAAATTTCTTAGCACAGGTAAGAGGGAATATTATCTAGCCTTCAAGCCTAATTGACTCTTGTGTGAGAAGACATTGTTAGAAAGAAATAAAATAAAACCATGAATGTGACATTCACCTAACAATTTAGAATTTAAGTTATTGGGTTGAAATTATTCTTTAGCTATGGCATATCAGATTTCCTTGTCCAAATTAATGGATTTGTGAGGAGTTGACTAAGATTGTTTTGGTATTCTCAATATGCTTTGCTAGAATTGTGTGTAATGCAGCTTTGTGGCTCTTCCTTTTTCCCATTAACCTCGGGCATTCATTATTCTTCTCTGATTGTGTTTTTTTTCCCTCTTATATGACAGAGAGGCTGTCGATTCTTACACAATTGCTGCAGCTCCAAATCTTGAATCAATTATAAGAGCACCAAGTGTTATTTATTCAAGCTTTGTCGGTCATTCAAAGAGTTACCTAGAACAAGATGCAAAGACTTCTTTACTATCTGGTCAGCTTAGTCAATTTCAAGAAGGGATCTCGAGAAGACAATCAACATGGTGGGAGAAAGCTTCAATTCAAATGCAAATTCCTGAAGAAATACCCATTAATTATGGATGTAGCCTCACTCAAACCATATTTAATGGTATGTTATTTAATTTTAGTAACTCAGTAATCTGTTGCCATATCCTTGAATTTTTTTTTTTTTTTTTTTTTTTTTTTCATATGTACGTGTGCTCAATGAACATTGTAAAGCTGAGAGAAAAATATTCCTCCATTTTGGTAATGGATGTTGCTTTAATGTCACTGCTGAGATAAAACAAGGAGTGTGAATCACAGGTCCTCTAATGGTGTTTCTCTCAAACACTTAAAACACACAAGGAGTTCTCTGAATATACCTATTTTGTATATCATTAACATTCAAGCCTTACATTCAAATGATTTACATGGTACTATTTAAAAGCAATAGCAAATAACTAGAAATACTAATGACTAACTTAGGAAATCTAAACACATTAATGACTACTTCTTAGAAACTTTAAACTCATTAATGTCCACTAACAAACTCCTAAGAGACACACCTCTTCACCAAAAAAACCTTTCATTTTCTATTTTCTTTTATTCAAATAAAGTTTAAAAACCCAACAAAACTCCTCCTTAAACTTTAATATCTCTACCATCCTTCATTCCCATCTTCTTCTTGCAATTTTCAAACAACAATGTCGGCAGGGGCTTTGTAAAAATATCTCCAACTTGATCTCGGCTTGCAACATGAGTGAGCTCAACTTTTCCTTCTTTGACTTGATCTCGGATGATTGACCGGGTTCTTTGCTAACTCGATTGCAGACTTGTTGTCAACTCGGATTTCGGTTGCGCCGACTTGCCCTTGCTCCAGCTTGCTTAGTAAATTCCTTAGCCATATTGCATGGCAAACACACCAAGATGCCGCAACATACTCGGCTTCACATGTAGACAGGGTCACAATGGGTTCCTTCTTTGACACCCACGTGAAAGCCGTGTTTCCCATGAAAAACACATAGCCAGTCGTGCTCTTTCTATCATCAATATCTCCGCACCAATCACTGTCTGAGTAACCCGTCAACTTGTATTTGTCCGACTTCGAGTAATGAAGTCCTTGTGAGGTTGTTCCTTTCACATATCTCAGAATTCTCTTAGCCGCCTTCCAGTGAGTGTACCCCGGGTCTTCCATAAATCGACTTATGATTCCAACACTCAGACACAGATCCGGCCTCGTACACGTCAAATATCTCAGACTTCCAACTAGACTCCGGTAGTAACTCGGATCAACTCTCTCTCCTCCATCATACTTCGAAATTTTCAACCCGGGTTCCATTGGCGTTGAAACCGGGTTGCAGTCACTCATTTTAAACTTCTCTAAAATTCCTTTTGCATAGGCTTCCTGAGAGACGAAGATCCCGGATTTGTCTTGTCTGACCTCCAGACCAAGAAAGTACCTCATCAGACCGAGATCCGTCATCTCGAACTCCTTCGTCATTTTCTTCTTAAAGTCTTGAATCATCCCTTCATCATTACCCAAGAAAATCAGATCATCAACATATAGAGCAACAAGAAGAATTTTACCTCCTTTCTTCTTCACATATAGTGCATGTTCATATGGACATTGTTCAAGTCCATCCTTCTTGAAGTAATTGTCAATTCTTGTGTTCCAGGCTCTTGGGGCCTGCTTCAATCCATACAAAGCTTTCTTCAGTCTCAACACTTTTCTTTCTTCTTCGGCTTTCATGAATCCCGGAGGTTGTTCCAGATATACCTCCTCTTCGAGTACTCCATTTAAGAATGCCGACTTCACATCCATCTGATAGATCGGCCATCCAAATTGGGCTTCTTGAGAGATCAACAGCCTGATTGTCTCCATTCTTGCTACGGGTGCGAACACCTCGTCATAATCAATGCCAGCCTTCTGCCTATACCCTTTCGCCACTAGCCGAGCTTTGTATCTTTCGATCTCCCCCTTAGCGTTCATTTTCTTCTTGTAGACCCATTTCACACCAATGGGCCGACTTCCTCTGGGCAGCTCGGCTAACTCCCACGTCTTGTTCTTTTCTATCGCCTTTATTTCCTCCTCCATGGCTGATTGCCATTTCTCATCTCGGATGGCTTCTTCAAAGCTTACTTCTTCAGAATCTGCCAATAGACATACCAAGTGTGCTTCACTGGTGGAATCATACAAATCTTGTAGACTCCTTAATCTCGGTTGTCTCTGCTCTTCATCACTATCTGAGTCATTCGGATTCTCAGGAATCCGGGTCGAAGGTTGTCCGACCTCAATTGATTTTAGTCCGGGTTCCACATTGACCCCGGATGGACTACTCCAGTCCCATCCATCTTCCTCATTCACTTTTACATCTCGGCTCACCAACACCTTTTTATTGACGGGGTCCAGCAACTTGTACCCCTTCGTCTTCTCATCATAGCCAATAAACACATACTTCTTACTTTTATCTTCTAGCTTTGTCCTCAATTGATCTGGTATATGTGCATACGCAACACTACCAAAAATCTTGAAATGAGCCACTGATGGCTTTAGACCACTCCATGCTTCTTGTGGAGTTTTATCATTCACACTTGAGTGCGGACATCGGTTTTGCACGTACACGGCACATTACACGGCTTCTCCCCAGAACTCCTTTGGCATGTTATTCGTTTTCCGCATAGATCGGACCATATCCAGGATAGTCCGGTTCTTTCTCTCAGCTACTCCATTCTGCTGGGGCGAGTACGGAGCGGTCAGGAATCGCCTTATCCCATGTTCTTCACAATACTTCTTGAAAGCTGTTGACAAGTACTCCCCACCTCGGTCTGAGCGAACCGATTTGATGTACCTCCCAGTACCATTCTCTATCATTGTTTTAAAACTCCTAAATGCCTCTAGCACCTCGGATTTTTCCTTCAAAAAATACACCCAAGTCTTTCGACTGAAATCATCAATAAAGGTTACAAAATACTTCTTACCACTGAAAGACCCCGGAGTAATGGGTCCACACAGGTCGGTATGGATCAACTCCAGAGGCTGCCTAGCTCGGTATCTCGCCATTCTTTGGAATAGGCTCCTCGCATGTTTTCCCAATACGCAGTCCTCACAAAATTTTCCTTCAGAGTTAATCTTTGGTAGTCCCACTACCATGTTTTTCTTCATCATCTTGGTCAGACCACCATAATGAAGGTGTCCAAACCGTCTATGCCACAAGTCCATCTTATCTTCTACCCCGGCTTGAAGACAGCCGACCTCCATGCTCCTTAGACTTAGCTTGTACATTCTGTTCTTTTCCATCTGAACTCGGGCTATCAGACGCCCTTGTTTGTCTTTCAACAGTAGAACTCGGTCTGTCATTAGAACCGAGTAACCCTTCTCCATCAGCTGTCCAATGCTCAATATGTTACTTTTGAGCTCGGGCACGTAATACACGTCCCGGATTATACAACCTCGTCCATCCTTTTGCAAGAAACAGATCGTACCTCGGCCCTTTACTTCAATTTTGGACGCGTCTTCAACTCCTTAAACAAGTGTTTGTAACCACACATGTGATTACTGGCACCGGTATCCAAATACCACTCCGTCTCATTTTTTGAACTGGTTTCACCATGGGCTAGCATAAGAACTCCTCCATCTCCTTCTACAGCGAGGTTTGAAGCCTCGTCAACTCTTCTTTCATCTCGGCAATCCTTAGCGAAATGCCCAACTCGGCCACAGTTGTAACACTTGTCCGAGTTGCAATCTCTCGAGTAATGGCCATACTTGCCACACTTGTAACATTCCACATTTGTTTGATTTGACCACCGGCCTCTTCCACCTCGGCCACGTCCTCTTCCTCTCTGACTCGACTCAGCTCTTTCTTCATTTCTCACCTCATGACCTCGGCCACGACCACCTCGGCCATTTCCACGTCCAGCTCGTCCACGACCTCTACCTCGGACATCTTGAGAATAGAGCGCCTTCTCATCTTTAATGTTTGCTTTTGTCTGGAGTGCTTGCTCCAGCGACTCCTCCTTTTTCTTCTTCTTGCGCTGCTCATGCGCCTCAAGGGAACCTGCTAGCTCTTCAACAGAAAGCGTAGCCAAGTCCTTCGACTCCTCAATTGCACATACCACGTTTTCGAAGTCGTCTGTCAACGACCGGAGAATCTTTTCAACAACTCTAGTCTCAGATAATTCCTCACCATTCTGCTTTAACTGATTCACCACGGCTTGAACGCGGGTGATGAACTCGGATACACCCTCTGAATCTTTCATCTTCATGCCTTCCAACTCGCCACGTAGAGTTTGAAATCGGACCTGCTTTACTCGGTCAGCACCTTTATAGACATTTTCCAAGATGTCCCATGCTTCCTTAGACGTCGTTGCTCCTGCTATCTTCTCAAATCCGGACTCGTCTACAGCTCGGAAAAGCGTGTATAAGGCTGACTTGTCCTTCGCACGCGTCTCTTTCAACGCCTTGGTTTGAGCTGCTGAGTATCCTGCGGTAGTTGCAGGTTCAGCAAAACTGTCCTGAACAACATCCCAAGCATCCTGGGATCCGAGCAACGCCTTCATCTGGATACTCCAATTCACGTAATTCGCCTTTGTCAGGCGGGGCAACGACATACTGGAAGTGCTCACACTCTCCATAACTCAAGCTCTGATACCAATTTGTGAATCACAGGTCCTCTAATGGTGTTTCTCTCAAACACTTAAAACACACAAGGAGTTCTCTGAATATACCTCTTTTGTATATCATTAACATTCAAGCCTTACATTCAAATGATTTACATGGTACTATTTAAAAGCAATAGCAAATAACTAGAAATACTAATGACTAACTTAGGAAATCTAAACACATTAATGACTACTTCTTAGAAACTTTAAACTCATTAATGTCCACTAACAAACTCCTAAGAGACACACCTCTTCACCAAAAAAACCTTTCATTTTCTATTTTCTTTTATTCAAATAAAGTTTAAAAACCCAACAAGGAGTACTTGTAAATGTAATGTTCTGCTTATGCTTACTACTTAAAAATAAATGTAAGAGATTGAAAGGTTGGTTTTTGGATTAAATATATTGAAAGGTATGATTCATTCTCTGCCCCGAAAAAGTATTATTATGCTCTATGAAGCACCGACACTTCAAACACCTTGACGTGTCGTGTCCGACACTCCCCGACACTTCAATACACGTTATAGAAATTCAAAAAAAGGTTCAAATGTTGCAATGCGTTCAGTTTTTAGTTTTAACTATTAGATTCGTTGGATTACGATTACCATTTTATTGAGTTTAATATAAATATATGGGATATCTTATGTTTCTTTGCAAAATTGATGAATATTATAAGTTGAGTTTCATTTTTTTGTTAAATTATTGAATATTAAATATAATATACATTACATAAATTAAAAATATTATTTAATATCAAAACGTGTTCTAACATGTCGAAATCTAACATTTTTTAGAATTAACGTGTCAGAATGTCGTGTCGTTCGTATCACGTATCCCGTGTCATATCGGTGCTAGATAGATTATGCCTATAAACAAGTCCTACTTCCTTTATTTATATTTCTAACTGGTCATTTTATGTGGTAATTTTGTACCTGGCCAGGGATTAATGTGATGGCTGGAGTTGGCCTTTTGTCTGCACCTTTTACAACGAAACAAGCTGGGTGGGCGAGTTTGGTGGTGATGCTTCTTTTTGGAGTTGTATGTTGTTATACGGCAGATCTTATGAGACATTGCTTTGAAAGCAGAGAAGGGATCATTAGCTACCCAGATATAGGCGAAGCTGCATTTGGAAGATATGGACGACTTCTTGTATCAGTAAGCATGTGTTTAGTTTTGATTAATTTTGGGAGAAAAATCTTTTTTTTTTTCAAAAGCTCTCTTAGTAGGATTTTGATTACTAAGTTGTTTTGAACCAAAAATAAACCAATCCAAACACACACTAAGTTTGTGTCCAAATTGTTATGCGGTCCTTGTTCCACCCCCCCCCCCCTTCTCTTAAAATTTTTTGTTATGCTTCATTGTGTCTTTGCTTTATTTCCTCCCTTCAAGTTCTAAGATTTGACTTTGTGGATCTCAAATTTTATTTGATTCATGCTAGATGGTGTAGGTTCATCCTTGTCTTTGATCTTTCTATTTTACATCTCAAGGCCCTGACAAAATGTACCATATAATGATTTTTCTCTATTTATTATTGTTTCTTATAAATTCCTTGTAGTTGGAGTGAGAAGAATCCTGACACATGATGTTTTTCACCCATGCACACATTGGTGGTTTTAATAATCAATGTTTACTAACATTTATTTTTTATTTTTCAATCTTTGTCGCAGATCATTTTATACACTGAATTATATGTAAGTTCTGAATTGATCCATTTCTTTTGTTTCCTTTAACAACAACTGTGCTTTATAACTCTGCATCATCAGTATGAGATATCTTTTCATGAATGCAGTCATACTGTATAGAATATATCATCTTGGAAGGAGATAACCTTACTGGGCTGTTTCCTGGAACGTCCTTGAATTGGGGCAGTTTCCATGTTGATTCCAAGCATTTGTTTGGAGTTTTGGCTGCACTTATTATTCTCCCAACTCTTTTGTTGAAGGATCTTCGTATAATCTCCTATCTCTCAGGTTCTCCAAACTCAAGAAGATTTGTTAGGTTTAAGGATCTTTGTTTTTCAATCCAATTTAATCAAGCACTTACTGGATCATTTGTGATGATTCTGCAGCTGGAGGGGTTGTTGCTACAATTTTAATTACTGTCTGTATATTTGCTGTTGGGACAACAGATGATGTTGGATTCCATCACAATGGTCCACTGTTGAATTGGAGTGGCATTCCATTTGCTTTTGGTATCTATGGGTTTTGCTTTTCTGGACATTCAGTTTTTCCAAATATTTACCAGTCTATGGCTGTCAAAAAAGAATTTAACAAGGCAGTAATGACATGGTATAGTACCTAACTTTCTTTGTTAATGGAGAGAAGACTTGTTTTCTTCTTTATTATACCTGACTCATTTATTTGTGTACAGTTTTATTTTATGTGTGTTGATATATGGAAGCGTTGCAATCATGGGGTTTCTCATGTTTGGTGAAGAGACTTCGTCTCAGATAACATTGAATCTGCCACCAAATACATTTGCTTCCAAAGTTGCCAAGTGGACAACAGTAAGAGATTCTTATAGTCTCTTTGGGCTACTTTAAAAAAATTTCTTTGTAGTGAACATTTACAGAGTTTACAATTTTGTATTCTTTTCTCTTTCAGGTGATTAACCCGTTAACCAAATATCCTTTTTTGTAACAAATTACTTTTGTTAAAGTTCAACTTGGCTTGATCATATTCAGCAGAAATTTTGAATTAACTTTTCCTTAATTTTAAACAAATATGCTTTGATGATGAACCCATTGGCAAGGAGTGTAGAAGAGTTGCTGCCGGATAGCATTTCAAGTACTTATTGGTGTTTCATTCTTCTTAGAACAGCACTGCTTATATCTACAGTTTGTGCCGCTTTTCTGATACCCTTTTTTGGTAAGTCTTAGACTTTGTCTCTGTAATACAATACATTTGTATGTGCTCACAATTAATTAAAGGACACTTAAGAATATCATATGGCTATGGCGTGTTAATCATTGTATGTTCTTCTATATATATTTACTTAAAAGCTAGAGCTAGTTAGTACTTTGCACAACCTTGTTATTTTTGAATAACAATGAATTATTGGACCATCAAATAGGTGTGGGATTGTTATATATAATACAGTCACTTATTGCAATACACAACTGTTTTTGTACCTTTTATATATATATATATATATATATATATATATATATATATATATATATATATATATATATTGTATGTAATGCTCTTATTGTCCTTGACAAATTTTAAAGTGCTAACTTATCTTTATTTCACAAAAAAATGTGTGTATAAGATCTGTATTAAATATTAGCACTGGTGATATGTGTCAGATGAACAATATGATTCTAACACTGTTCTTTTCAATTTCAGGGCTTGTGATGGCTTTAATTGGTTCCCTCCTCAGTATACTTGTGGTAAGCATAAACTTTCAGTTAAATATTCATCACAATCAATATCTCACTATGTTTAAGGACCATGAACATGCCTCTGTAAACAAATAGTTATACTCTAATACTAATTTAAGAACAGCAGAAAGAATGAGATGGAGATAAAAGACTAATTTGTCTTCAATCGTCGGCATTACTTTTTTCTTTGTTAGCATTCAAACATAAAATATTACCTGTGTCACATTATAGGTAAAATTCCCTGCCTTACATTCAACGGTTCCTGAATGCTCTGCCACACGCTCTTATTTTTCTTTTAAAGTCCAACATGACTAAAAAATAGGCATGGTTTAATGCACATATTCTAAAATATTCTCATAAATGCATATATATACATTATTCACGTCCTAAGGCAGGGATCTTTGGCCTTTTACTTGTTAGGAGTTCATATGAAACTGCAATGTCATGTAGGATTGCTATATTTTCAGGCAGTGATATTGCCGTCTTTATGTTTTCTGAGAATCGTGGGGAATAAAGCAACAAATACACAGGTATCAGTGCAGCTGATCTTGTTAGTGTGTGTATATATATATATATATATAGAGAGAGAGGTAGGATCTTACCTCATATATATATATATATATATTCAACTATAATTATCTTATGAAAATTTTCAGGGTAATAAGTTCTCTCTTCCAATTTTTTTATCTTTTTTCTGGCATGATCAGGTTGCTCTGAGCGTCGTAATTGCTGCATGGGGAATCACTAGTGCTTTCTTTGGAACATATTCATCAGTATCAAAGATTGTGCAGAGTTTCAGCACAAGTCCAGCCATTTGAATTGTTATGATGATAACAAGACCTTGCTCTCTCCTGATGAAACCTTTCATCGTAAGGTTCAAGTTTTCTAGTGGAATACAAAGAGTTCAGCAACTTTTTGAATTACATAAAAGTCAAAAGTGTTTCTCCTTTTAAATAACATAATTTATGTCATTTCACTCTCACAAAGAGGTGACACACACCTTTATACTTTTTTGTCCACTCTCTCTCCTACTTTATCTATCTCTTACTCTCACTTAAAATAACACAACTTTACATTCTTTAAAATAATACACACTTTTTCCTACATAAAAATACCATTAAGTTTCTTTTAAAAACAACAAACAAACTAAAAACTTATTAGTATTATAGTTATTTACCTTTTGGATATATTTACGGGTTCATCGATTACATAACTAATATAATTCAAACACTGACGGACCCATATGTTTATTTATATTTTTATATATATTATAAAAAAATAAAAGGGTTTGATTTTAATGAGCACAGAGAATACTTGTGTTTCAACTTATTATTGTAAATTTTTAGTTTAAAAAATATTAAAATATGTAATAATATTTAATATATACGATTTATGAATTAAATAGCATGTAAAATATAAAGATGTTCAAATTTTATGTTAAAATTTATTTTTATTATTTTTCATGTTGATTTTTGTATTTTTTTTAATTTTTATCTATTGAATAATTTCATATATTAAATATTTAACACATTTTAATATATTTTTATAATTAAAAATTAATTAATAATAAAGTGAAATTATCTGTCTTCAATAAAACCTAATTCAAGTTTTTCTTTTTTAATTAAATCCGGCTTCCATTATTTATTTTTTGTCAGATTTAAAAATTATAAGATATTAAAATACCGTTAAAAAAAAATTATTCAATAAAGAAAGTATTTGGTCATTTTGTTTAAAATAAATCTATATAATAAGCAAATGCTCACTTAACTTGTTAGTCATTGTGTATGTTATACCGACACGAGACACAAGATACAACATAATATTTTGACACGTTAATTTTAAATAGTTTTAAATTTCGACACGTTAGGACATATTTTGATATTAAATAATAGTTTTAATTTATGTAGTGTGTGTTATATTTAATATCCATCAATTTTGCAAAGAAACATAAGATGTCTAAATATTTATATTAAACTCAATAAAATAATAATCATAATCCAACGAATCTAATAGTTAGAACTTAAAACGTAATGCAATGCAACCATTGAACATTTTTGAGTCTTTGTAACGAGTATTAAAGTGTTAAAGAGTGTCAAAAAATGTCGAACACGACACGTCAAAATTTTTAAAGTATCAATGGTTGTTATATATTACTTTATGGTTATACAGCTAGCAAAAGTAGCAAGGAGGCCCTTTATTATAAATGTGGGGAAGGGAGAGATAAGCAGACAGAGAATGAATTTATAACATCGGGTACAATAATCGTTGATAACTGTTATTGCAATAGACTGCATTTATCCAAAATGGGACCAAATTGAAGGTCAATTTTCCAATTACTAAAGCCATTTAATTTGCTATTCGAGAGCTATGTTTGTCTGTATTGTCTGTGTGACGTCTAACACCCTCATAATTATTTGATATTGTATTAGCTTAACTCATTGGTCGTTGCTTTTTTTTTTATTCACTAATAATATGCTGGCTATTCTTCATTTTCAGAGGTCACAATTGACTTTGAGGGTATGTTTGATTTGATTTTTTTTTCTTCAAAACTGTTTTGTAATATAATTTTTGAAAACTAGTTTTAAAAATAAGAGAATAATAAAACTTATTTTAATATAAATATATCTAAAGTTGGAAAGAAATATTAAAGAACTTTCACAACTATAAAATTATAAATGAAAAATAATTTAAAATTGAAAAAATTAAATTTATTTATGATAGTATATTAATAAATTTTCATAACACCGCAAAAACAACAAAATCAAAAAATAAATTTTGAGAACATATTTCTAATTTTAGTTTTAAAAACTTAAAAACAATTATTATTTTGAAAGTCGTTTTTATAAAACAATTTTAAAAAAATAAGTTTTTTATTTTTATTCTAAAAGGTAAAAAACTATTTTTGAAAACAAAAATCAAACAAGCGCTGACTTTTTCTCTTTCTCTTTCTCTAAGAGAATGCAAATTTGTTGTTGTTGTTTTTTTTTGGTGAGAGAAAAGAATGGAAATTAACTTTGAATGATTGTACACAACTGCATTCACCTTCAAGGCTTCAACAGTTTTTGATGGCCCAAATTCCACATCATAGAGTACGGGTTACAAAAGTGATTATAGCCAAGCTCTCCAGCAACTAGAAACATAAATATAAATAAATGCCATTGAGCAAATAAATTCAGTATAAAACTCTTTGAACTAGTTCCCTATTTTATAACATTATAAACATTCCGGATTTGCTAAATGGGGTATTAAATACAATGTGCCAATATTTTATCCCATTCGAAATCCATTTGACCCCTTTGCTAGCGTGATTTTCAAAACTGCTTTGTGCAGCGGAACTTATGGTCCAATAGTAGTAGTATATTAACTTAATTCTCTTCTCTATTAGGCCTAGTGCCCAATATCATAAGGTCATGAAAAACTCCAAATTTGATTTTTGGGATATTTATAATGTTAAAATATATTGATCCATACTAAGTCATTTTTTCTAACATCAATACTATTGAATCAACTTCTTCATAATACTTAAGCAGTACGTATCTTTAATCTTTAATCTATTTAAGAGTATTTCCATTATGTCCGTTAGATGTTGAATCGGATATGTAAAATACTTAAGGTTAGCATTTTGTTGAGTTTATCTGGATGATTTATTACTTGTTACTGTGGGGTCTTTGGTTATCGCTCATCAGAGCATTTTCATGCATGCTCCTAGCCACTGTTGGCAAGCATGAATGACTAATTAAAGTCCCTTTTTGCCGTGGGAGAGGAAAGAATAACCGAAACAATACAAGATCTAAAGGAATTATTGCTACAATTTTCTCCTACAAATCTGATTGATGCTTTATAATGGTGCTAGAACCTATTTCGATTGCGATGAAGCTTCAGCGTACACAATCCGTTCCAGAGTTTAAAATAATAGACTACCTATGTTTATTTTTATATGTAATATGATCATGAATTTTCTTTATTTGCATCAAGCCATATACATCTGTGAGGTAATTTACATAAAAGTACCTATGTTCTCAACGCTTTTATTTTTTAATCATTCAGTAAATCTGCTCAATATGCTTAACCAAAATGAACAAGGATCTGGCCATCTATATTAACCGCAGAAGGTTCACATTCCTTCCATTTGCACTGCATCCCTTTATCAAAATTGTAATAAGATCATTGTTGCTTTACCATTAAGCTGACGCCAATTATTAGAGGTATGTTAAAACTTTAGGAAGCATTTAATCCTATTTATTTTTTCATTTTTCAACAACTCTCTACTTGAACTTCAGTAAGGTAGGCCACCAAAATCAGAGTTTGATCTCCTTGTGTATTCTGCAACTAGTTGAGCAACAAACGAAGATTTATTCTTAAGCAGTTTCTTTGGTGAGTCATATTTCTCAAGAAGCGTGCACCATCAATATGAAGAGAAATCATATTCACTTTTATGAGAAAAAAAAAGAAAAAAACAAACTGACAAATATACAAGAAAAAATAAAAAACAAATGATTCTTAATTACCTTGATTTATAAACAGAACCATGTCACGATCAACGACTGAAGTTATTCAATGAGCTATGGTAACTGCAAAACTCATGATGATATGAAATCATTCTCACTACATTTAAAGATATAATTTTGACTTGTAACACATCCTATATCTATGTTTAAAGTTTTTAGAAGTCAAAACTACGGAGTCAAGTTTCCCTTCTTTCTTCCTTACTTTATCTCCAAGTTGGCACATAACTAGAGCCTATAATATTTCTTAGAATTTATGAATATGCATAACCTGTACTAACGAGACAATTACTTCCTAGTGCCATGAAAAAAAAAAATTACCTCCCAAATCTGTTCATCTGTGTACTCTTCCAGTGAGTCCAGGTTGCTTCTTACATTCCCTTCAAACATTGTTGGATCCCGAGGAATAATGCTTAATGTGGAACGTAAATCATGAACTTCAATCAAAGATATGTTAGTGTTGTCTATCAAATTAGTGTTGTCTATCAAAATTTGTTCAGCAACTGGTTCCACAAGTCAGAAAAGTGTTTGCACTATAGTTATTTTTCCACTTCCTGTTCTTCTCACAATGCCAGTTTTTTTTATCCAGCACATGTAAAACAAGAGGCAAGTGAGGAGCATACCAAACCTACATCACACACTGCCTCATTAAGCATAGATATCATAAACTAAAATCAAACTCAGTTACCTCTTTTTCTACAGGATATTCTTATGAATGGGTTAAAATCCCCTGCATTAAATTTTTTTTCTCTAATATTGCTCGTCTTAGCCAACATGCTGGCATGCCAACAATCAACAAGCATTCACCAGGATCAATAGCTGTTATATGTGGCCATGACTCATACATATCACCTCCTCAACAGTCACCACCATATAAACAATCCAGCAATCAATGACAGACTTTTAACCTATTCATATATCTTCACTTCCATCAATCAATGCCAGACTTTTATATATTTTCACCACCATATAAACCAATGCAGATACTAGATATCTTCACTTTTTAACCTGCTTAAATTCTAAGTAACAAACAATGCAAGACTTTTTTATATATCAATCAATCAAACAATGCAGATACTAGAAAGGGCGACACTATTAAAAAATTAACCACAAATCAATCAAATAATTTTGCATTGGTAGGGTATTTTCAAGTAATCATCATCAATGTTCTCCAGTATGAAATAAAAATTTCTATTCTCAACTAGTCTTGTATATTTTCTGCTTCCCACTGAAGTCTGGCATGTTGGTGCTGCTGCAATGGTTGAGCATCACCAGCACTTGAACTTCCAGCTATGATTGAAACAACCCCAGGC